ACACCACCATTATTATTTTAACTACCGTCACTCGTCGGCAATGTTTATTGTTTTAAAAAGTGATGATTAGTATTGTAATAAAACCTAAACACAGGAAAGTGAATTTATACATTTTTGCTCTTGAGAATTGATAAAAAAAATAATAAACACTATTTATTTATTAGATTGTTTATTTACATTATCAGCTCATTTGCTAAATAATTCAAACTTTATAAAATGGTAAATAATAAGGATTTCCTTGTAGTTGGTTCACAGATTTTAATAATTTAGTAAATTTTTATAAATTTATGAATAAAAAATTGTTTTCGCATTTATTTCTTTATAAGTAGGTAAATGATAAATATTGCATTGCATTAATTCTAATTGCATTAGTCTTTAAAATGTTGTAAATATAAACTGAATCTTGTAAATAAACAATCTACTAAATAAATAGTATTTAATATTTTTTGTTGTAAATTCTCAAGACCAAAAAAAAAAAAAAAATATATAAATTCATTTTCATCATGTGTTTCGGTTTTATTCCAATTTTAATCATAGCTTCTTAAAACAATAAACATCGTCGAAGAGTGAAGGTAGTTAAAATAATAGTGGTGTCAAGGGAAAGACCCTTCTACATCTTATTGCGAGCACGTTTGTGTATGTTTGCCTTCTTTTCTATGTTTCTAACGAAATTTTCCTAGTATTTAGTTTTGCAGGGCATCTTTTGCAATGCGTCTTTCGCTAATCCAATGCACAATCGAATTTCGGTGTTGCTTTAGACATCCTTTGTTGAAACACTTGGTTACTTTGTTTAATCGTTCAATTCAACATTCGTTCTGAACCTACCATATGCACTGTCGTCTGTGTAGCGTATGTTGCTAAGATTACGTCCGCCGATAATAAATCCTAATATATCTCCTAATCCTCTTAGATTAATCTCACTGTACAGGTGAAATAAATCCGCCGAGAAAATGCATAGTCAGTATGACATTGTTCAGTGTCCCAAGCAATCACGCTTTTTGTGAGGAGATACGAAACAAATATAAAATCTGGTAAAAAAAAACAACAAAAAAACAAAAAACAAATAGAATCTATTTTTCATTATTCGTAAGCGCCTTCGGATTTATATTACACTTTCTGGCGTCTATTATTTTATTTTATTTTATTTTATTTTTTTGTAAACCAATTCACCCCAAACAAGGCGATAAAAGCCACTAAAAACGCAAGGGTTTACTGTGAATGAATGAAATTGAGACAACGTTATTGAGAGTGTGGAACGAAGGCGGAAATAAAGACCAAGGTAGTCAAACAACAAATGACAAAAAAATGGTTTCTGAGTTGGATGATTCACGCATCCTTCCGTTTAATAGATTAATGCTTTGAAAATAAATATTTAACATTTTTCAACCAACAGGTCACTTTTCCGCGTCGTGATCCTTTGAAGGTTATTTAAGCAAAGTTTCTAGATAGACAAACCAGGAAGGAAAGACATACGGCAACAGTCCATGGCACTCGCTTAGCTTAAAAGAAATTTCCTTACTCATTCACCCATCTTCCTCACCAAACTACGTGATACTTACACTTACTCCACTTTCTCCCTCTTCTTTTTTACGCATATACCCGCCTGTGTAAGAGAGGTTGGAGGGTGGAAAATAATTCTTCTCCAACAAGGACTCAAAGAGGCTTTTGGACTGAAAAGTGAGGACTGGGCTGCTCCCGTCCAAATATGGCAACAAGTACTCCATTTTCAGCCTGGGCTAGCTTTTATAAAGGTAGAGGATAGCATGAGGAGTCAGGTACTTACTGGAGTGGTACTTGGAGCCGATCATTTTACTACCATCTTTAGCGATGGATTGTGTAGTAGAGTTCCACATGAGGCCTGGTGTGAGTTTGAGGCCCAATATTCTCTTACTCTTGGAGCTGGGATAGGTTGAGTGTGCACTTTTGAGTGAAATTGGTTTAACTTCAAATCCTGTAAATATATCATCTGGGGATCAAAAAAAATGTTGGTGGCATCTTTTGATCCGTGGTCATTTGTCCGCCATATTGAATTAAAAATGGCGACCATTTCGAGCCATATGGCCTGGTCACCAAAAAATAAAATTTTCAAAATATGGACATGTTGTATACCATTTTGTTGGAAATTTTATGCTGATTCAGAATCATAACCATTTTTTAGCTGTACTGGCCTGATCTAGCAGAAGACCCTACTATGAATTCATCTAATAAGAAGTACTATAATTTAATCGAGTAAGAAAAATGACTATGAAGGAATCAAGGTGAAAGCATTACTACTAGTTGAATAATGAAATAGTCTTGTAGAAATCTTTCTATCTTTCTTTTTTTTCGCACTGAAATCAAACAGTCTCTGATGTCTTTTCCGTCTTTCATCGCGATCAAATCGGAACAGTTCATTATTTGTGATGTGTTGGCAGAATCTTTCTTTTCTCTCTCTCTTGTTCTTTCTTTCTTTCTTTCTTTCACTGAAACTAAGTAGCGTCACTGATATGTATTTTCCGTCTTTCCACGCGATCAAATTCGAATAGTCCATTATTTTTTAGGTATTGGCAGGGCGTAACATACATAACTAAGGAACTAATGTGAGGGGGACAAACAGGATTATAAGATAACTGGAAAAAAAAAACAAACAAAAAAAACAACAAAAAACAAAAACTTGGGCATTCACCAAAAAAACAAAAAAAAACAAAAACAAACAAACAACTCTTTTTGTCTTTTACGTTTGTAACAAAATATGGTAAATTATTATATCCGTCCTGTCTAAAAGGACGGCAATTGTTTGCAAGTTTAATACTGAGATGAAATGAAATAAAGGTGTTAAATCTATGTTCCTTAAAAAATTGTTTGTTATATTACATTTATTAGATAGCAAACATAACAATTACACGTATATTGCATGACAAAAGTTGGGAATGTACAACAAAAGCAGAAACCACTCAAGTGTTTACATAGTTTCTTTATTAATACGTATTTTCTAACAACTTGTTTTTTTTAAATATTTTCTTGGTTGTTTTGACTTTTGATATCAAACTGCCAATCCGAAAAAAGAGCACTTTTGTAACGTAGAAAGAGTTACTGAATGAGGAATAACCCAAACGGAGGTTGGAAATGAAATGGTAATCAACAAAATACAATACTCGCTAGCTACTCAGACAGCATATTACCCACACTTACAATAGTGTCCAATGTATTTATGAGAACTGGGACATACACATTAGTGTTCATAGGTACGGTATATAACAAGCTCCAATCCATACGCTGCAGGTCTTAGAAATTATTTCTCACATTTTGAACAGAAGCTACCGATGAACTGTTTAGTCAATTCCCTTTTAACTGTTTTTCTTATGATGATTTTGTTTTGAAGAGTATTAACTTCGTTGTCTTTATTTTTAGGTTGTTTTTAATTTGTTGTTCTATTGAGTACTACACTGGAGTTGGTAAATAGACACCAACACGAGAAAATGGTTGACCTTGTGACTTGTTAATAGAAGTACATAGAGAGTGACACAAAATATATAAATAAAAAAATACACAACGGTAATTATTATATAGTGTTGATTATTAAAATGACTAATGGAAGTAACCAGTCATGAATTTACTACCTTGTTGATTTATCTTCCTCTCCATTATAGAGCGTGATGAATGTGACGAATAGAAGATTCGTTCTTATGTAGATCTTAAGAGACTTACAACAATAAGTAAAAATAAAATAGAAAAATTATAACAATATACTGGAATAAAAGTATTATGATGGATATAAATTTCGCACATACCGTAGATTTTAACAACCTAAGCATACATTTTTTTAAAGTCAAGAACTTTCACTTTTTCACTTAAAAAAGGCATTTTGAAGCTTCTTTTTGGCATATACAAATTTTCTGGTATCAATACTTTGAGACACAATGAATCCCCGGTCGATTGGTTTGTACACCCATGTAGTCAAAGGGATTGTAAATGATTTTATTTGGGCCTAGAACAACCAGGATTTTATGATTAGTAGTCACTGACAACCAGCCGCATCGCCAGTAAAATCGAGATTTGAGAATTTCAAAGTAACCTCATAATGTCCACAAGTAGGGGAAAGGTAAGAAAATAGTTCTCTTCGGGGTTTGTTAAGTAACATTTGAGAGATCTTCGCTGATACTTCTGTTTTCTATCGACAGACTAACGGACCATATCTTCTTTTCGACCAGCGAGAAATCCGTCTCTGTATGACTCGCCATATCATTTTACTCAGTGATTTTGTCTGACTGCGAGTCAAACTTTGACTATATAAGCCAATGACCGGAATTCCCTACCTTCCGGGCGAGTGTCGCTTGATCTCGGAAGTTTTTATTTCTATTTACGTATTTTCTTGTTATTAAGTGAAATTTCTGAATTGTTTATTTATGCAGTTGTACCGCGGATGACTGAATCTGAGGAATTACTAGCAATACAAATCTTGAGCTTTGAAACCATTATTAAGTGAAATTGCTGTATTGTTTATTTCTGCGGTTGACTGCGCATAACTGGAAACACAGGAAGAGACCCTCGTGGATAACGAGGGAACTGATGTATAGTATTTCGCGTCAAATATTGGTGCCTATCTAAAAAAAGGTCAAGAGATATCAAGCCTCTTTTAACCTCCTATAACGTTTTCCTTATTTTTGTCCAATCGAACAGGATCGTCATTTAATGATAATGAGATGAACAGAGACGGTAATATTGGTTAGTATAACATTTTGACTTAATTTCTGTTCATTCTAATCACGCAGTTAATTAATTAGCCATTGACCTCTGACCGCATCGCCGGAAGGACATCAGATTGAGCATTATTCTATTATATTTGGATTTAGAAAGTCAATGTTCTTCCCAATGGAATAATTAGGCCCCTTTTAGCTAATCACGTATGTTAAATTTCTTGTCATGCCTTTTCTTCTAAGTGACAGCCTTATAAAGATGACGAGTTAGCCTAACGATTAATGGTATTGTCGTACCGAGTTCAAATTGAGCTTTATTAAGGCTTACGGCCGTATCCCGTAGAAACATTGGTTCCCACACGATCACCGAAGTTCAGCAACATCTAGCCTGGTCAGTATCTAAATGGATGACCGCTTGGGAATACCAGGTGTGGTAAGCTTGCATGTGCGGGTGGTGTAATAGATAATGACATGGAATTGTTAATTGGAAAGCAAAGTTCCAATTCCACTTGGGTTCGTTATATTCACTTACACATAAATAACCTTGCAAAAGGTGTGAATCCACATCATATCCCTCTCACCTATGGGTTAATTAGTAAAACTTGTATCACTAAAACCATCATTATCTCCAAAAAGTAAATAATATTCCGTAGAAGATATTTAGATTTCAGCATTAGAGGTTGATATTCCGCAAAACAAAACAACCAACCAACCAGTCAACAACTTCATTGAGTTTTGATTGATTTTTTACGGCTTATCAACCTTTTGCAGGTTATTTGAAGCCAAAATACATTTTTTTTTACATTGTATGAATTTTTTTGGAGATAATGGTGTGCTGATACATATCCTACTAATTAATCCATAGTTGGAGGGAGAAGAGGTGGATTCATGCCCTTCCCCAAGGGTATTTGTGCGTAAGTGACTATAACAAACCCGACTAGAATTGGAACACGGCTCCTTGATTTCTAATTCCGATCTGTTATTCATCCCCACACATCCAAGCGGTCATTCACTTAGGTACTGACCAGGTTCGACGTTGCTTAACTTCGATGATCGTATGAGAACAAATCCTGCCTGAGTTTGCGTCCACTTCGGGCGGAGGTCTAATTATTGATTGATAACTATAGAAAACTAACCTTTCGCTTTGAATCCACAAAAATGTTATATTAATATTAGTCTGACAGTGACAGTAGAAACTGCCATATTTTGTTAGGTCTGTATTATTTGTCTATATTTCTGAGATGAGGTATTGTAACTATTTACACTAGGTGCCTTCATTAATTCGGTAAGGTATAAAATAAATTTTTTAAAATGTAAAAGCTTTTTTGAAGCTTTCATTTTAGCTTTAATTGAAAGCTAAAATTTACTATTTCCATTAAAAAATACTCTGTGGTGTATTTCTGTTATGGTGAAACACACCTATTCAATAGATAATAGACTCTCCCACCTAATATAAGTATGAGTAGTAAGAGAAACGAACGTCAGTCGATGTCGGACGACAGTTAGTCGAATACGAATGTAGTCAGCGACCACAACAAGATTACTCTGCGTAATACCTATTATATCAAGTTCCTAACGTTTTGTACGTCGAACTATTTGGGACCGATTTAGTACAAATAAAAGCCTCCACTGCGAAATAACTCCACAACAACTTTGGCGACGAGGATTAGCACTCATACGGAGGAAGAAAAATTCGCTCGCCACAATAACTTCGGCGACAAAGTCTCAGATTCACACTAAAAAAAAAAAAAAAAAAAAAACTTGGCAAAGTTTTTCGCAAGCCAAGACTTCAACTTAGTGACGAAAAAATCTGTCGTATTCTCAACTGAGAAAAGAAATATATATATTTTTTCGATAATACAGTTTACTCAAATAGGTCACGAATTGCAAATTCGTAGGACCCCCTCCCTCTACAGCATTTAGGCATTGTGTAAACTTTTTGCGAAGATGGAGGAATGCAAAAATATATTCGGGAATTTTTTAAGTTCCAGTCGGAACAACAGATGACAATATTAGAGCAACAAAAAACATTCCAGATGCAGCTACAGGAGGAAACTTTCAATAGACAAATGCAATTCCAGCAAAAAATGGAACAGATGCATAGGGAGTTTCAAAACAAAATTCTGGAAATAACTGAGAAGAGGAAAGAGAAAAATCTACAAAATGATTCTTTCCCAGAGAATACAATATGGAATTCAATTGAAATATTCACGTGCAGTCCAGATGAAGAGATAACTTTTGAGGAGTATTATAAAAAATATACGGACGGGTATTACGAGGACTGCCACTCGTGGTCTGAAGAAAAGAAGGTTAGGCTTCTTTTAAGCAAATTAGGAACTGCTGAGCATAACAAATTGGTAAACTACATTTTACCGAAAAAACTAGCGAGTTGACATTTACCGAGGCGGTAAATATACTAAGTGAATTATTTAGTAAAAAGACATCTTTGTTTCACAAGAGGCGGAAATGTTTGAATCTGATGAAAGATAACGAACAAGACTATATAACGTACGCAACCAATGTGAATAAGCATTGTGAAGAATTCAAGGTGGCAGAGTTAAGCGCAGACAATTTTAAGTGCTTGGTGTTTGTTCAGGGGCTGGTATCGGAAAGAAACGTAGAGTTGAGAAAATTAGTACGGGCAAAATTGGAAAGCGATCCAAGTATTACGGTACAGAAATTGGCAGAAGACTGCACAAGATATGTTAGCGTAAAGAAAGATTAAAAAAGATAGAACAGTCGCGTGTATGGAAAATATGCTACAAAGAAGAAAGTCAGTCTACCAAAAAGAATTCTAAAATTGTGGATTATCAAGCAAAAAGTGAAATACCAGAGAAAAATAAACAAAAACTCCCGAAGCCATGTTTTGCTTGCGGTGAACTACACTGGTACAGATATTGCGATTTTAGGAATAAAAAAGGTTTCAACTGTAAAAGAGTGGGTCATAAAAGCACGCATTGCAGGTCAAAAAATAAAGACAATAAAATAAGAAAATTAAAGTCCAACGAGGTGAACGATGGAATAACCAGAAAATATGTTACCGTCGAAATAAGTAATAAAAATATAAAAATGCAACTTGACACTAGCTCAGATCTATCTATCATAAATTTGCATACGTGGAAGAAGTTGGGGAAACCAACTTTAATGAAGACAAAGAAAATCGCGAGGTCAGTGACGGGAGAAAAAATACAATTTATTGGGGAATTTGTTACAAACGTCACGTTAAATAAAAACAAAACGCGAAAAGCTAAACTATTTGTCATAGAAAATACCACGAACTTACTTGGTACGAATTGGATAATAGAATTCCAATTATGGGATCTACCGATAAATTCTTTCTGTTACAAGGTAGAAAGTATAAACACCGAAGCCCAAAAATTAGTAAAGTTAAGGAAACATTTCCTACTGTTTTTTTCTCCAGGTTTGGGAACGTGTACCAAGATGGAGGTAAAATTCCAGCTAAAAGAAAACGCTCAGGCGGTATTCAAAAAGAAAAGGAATGTGCCGTTTGCCTCATTTGAACAGATAGATAAAGAATTGGACAGATTAGAAAAAAACCGGTGTACTTAAAAAAGTTGGGTATAGTGAATGGGCAACACCGACGGTATACGCGAAAAAACAGCCCCAGAAAGTAAAGATGAAGCCGACACCGAGAAAAACTGGGGAGCGAGTTACCCGCAGCCAAGGACATGCAGTATTATTAAATGATTTAAGTCAACTGAAGTCACCACAGAAAACGTTAAGAAGCACAAGGTCAACAAAAAGGAAGCTAGAGGCTGAACAAATAGAACCACAAGTAGAACCTACAGAAACTGTGACTCCATCATTAAGAAGCTCAAAGCGGAAGGTTGTTTCTGGTAACACTATGGAGGTACCAAAAAATAGAAAAGCGGATTGGCAATATGATGTACTTGGTGAAAGGCGAAAAATTTACGTGCAGACGGCACATTAACCAGATCAGACGACGCTCTTCAGACGTGGTTGACAGCGGTCCCGCGGAAGAAACGCCGATTGAGGTGATTTTCAATACGTTTGATCTAAAAACGCCTGCAGCGATTTTACCTGAGTTACACCGATCCAGGAGAAAAAGAAAGGCAACTGATCATTTAAAAGTGGATCCAAAACGTAGGAGATACGCTACGATGTTGCTAATAAAATGAAGTTTTTTTTTTCTTCATATTTCCTGTAAAAAATAAATAAAGAAAACTGTTTTACTCCTACGGAGTAAAGTTTTAGGAGGAGGTGTTATGGTGAAACACACCTATTCTATAGTTGATAGACTTTCCCACCTATAATAAGTAGGAGTAGTAAGAGAAACGAAGATCAGTCGATGTCGGACGACAGTTAGTCGAATACGAAAGTAGTCAGCGACCACAACAAGATTACTATGCGTAATACCTATTATATCAAGTTCCTAACGTGTTGTACGTCGAACTATTTAGGACCGATTTAGTACAAATACAAGTTTCCACTGCGAAATAACTCCACAACAATTTCAAACAAAGATTATATTGACTGGAATGGATTTTTAAAAAGTAAAATCGATAAAATCTGCCATTTTAACACATTTGTAAACAAAAGTTAATTCCCGGTTTTAAAAATCATGTAAAAATATATTTATATATTTCTGAAAAGTTATTTGAGGAAAATTAGCAAATTTAAAGTCAAATGAATCTGATTTGAAACAAATATTACTTATTGTATAAAATGTTGTTTACAAACCTTTTTTAATCACGGGGTCTTGTTTTTCTGGCGTGTTGACAAGTATGGTGAAGAATAATTGTTAGCAATCGATGAAATATATTTAAATTTTTTTTTCCATAAGAGGGGACTACCCTTAAATCCTGTGACCTTTTAATGATAATGTCCTGTATGAACTATTATACTTAGAAAAATTAGGACGTTTATACACAAAAAAAATCAAAATTTCTTAAAAAAAATATTCGGGTGTATCAGATTGTAATAAGCTTTACAATATATGATTAGTAAATATAGTTTTACTTAATAACAACATTTTCTAAGAGTTATCACATTGAAAATTAATTTTAGAAGGTTTAAAATCTTTATAATTTATTCAATTTGAAATTGAAAATGAATTTTTAAAGATTTAAAAATTATTAAAAATTATTAAATTTAAAATTGTAAAAAATTGAAAACAAATCTTGTAAAAATTCATTTTCCATCAATGTTTTTTTTTCTTCAGACAATATTGTCTTTAATATATATAATTCATAAAACCTTCTCTAATTAAATAATGTCTTCTTTTTATTGCGTTTTTTTTTTCTTCGATTTAGAACAGATTTTCGGTTAGTTGGGGTCCGATTTTGCCAAAAAATTCAGTGATTTAAATTTTTCAAAGAATTTTTCTTTTAACTAATATCGTCAGTAAAAATTATCATGTCTAATTACTCAAGTTTTTATAAAATTAAGTAAGGGGG